TATGAATAGCCTCAAAAATTAAGCTTTGGCCTCTTCACCAGTGAAGGAAAAAGTTTCCAACAAAACTTATTACAAATCATATTTCACACAGAAGTGATTAAAGAAGAGGGACAGCAAATACTTCTGTAGCTCTTTTAGATTTACAGTAAGTATTTAACATCTAAAAAGAAACAAGTCAACATGATTTCACAACTTTATTTTCTCTAATGTCTTTCAGATAATCAATAACCCTAAATGTTTACAAGGTTAAAAAATAACCTGTAGAAGGATTAAGAACAGACTGGGGGGGGGTTGTGTGGAATCAGTCTCTAGATGAACTTGACTTCCCCAAGAAAAGAGTCAAACAATTGCGCAAGTGTTGGGAGAGAAAATGTAACTTATAAAACCAAAAGCTTTGCCTGGTGTGCATGACCCAATCCCATGTCTGCAGGCCACAAATTGTTGACTATAGATGAATAACTGATGCATGCAGCTTCACACAGGAAAGCCAATCTCTGCAGACCTGTTTGTTCCCATCATCTGGGTTTACAAAGCAGTTTTACTCAGGATGGAGACTGGAGCAAAGAGCGTGGAGTGTATCACAGGCTCAGAGCAGAAAGAGCCCAGGAGGCACCAACATCACACCAGGTAACACACAACCACAACAAACACACACACAGGGAGCGTGCAGGAGGACTGGTGTCACTTCAGCTTACCCCTGTCTGCTTACAGGTGGCTGTTTCTGACTGCTCCTGTTTGACAGGTGACCTTTTATCAGACTGAGGTAAGGGAGCTGGGTACAAGGCTGTGGGCATCTCCAGGCTCAGCCCTGGCAGTCCATGGAACATGCATTTCTAGAACAGCAACAGAATGTTAACCTTCCTTCTCTTTTTGATGCACAAAGATTTACTGTCTATTCACTCTGGTGTTCCTCAGTTTTCAGTAGGGTTTGGGATGCTTCCCCAGGTCTTGCCTTTCCCCATGCAACACAACATCAGAAATGCAACTATATTGAGAAGAATTTTAAGTAGGTCAGAAAAAAAGAGCCTACCATGGTCCTCTCACATTCTCTTGTGGGAAGTGCAGTTAAGATGCTGTGAGAGAAACTCCATGTCTTTTTCTTTGTATCTCACACTATTTTGCCCCAGGCTCAGGTGTCCTTCCTCCCTTTCTCACCAGCTACTGTTCCCCACCTAACAAGCATTTGGAACATGCACCTCCCAATGCCTGTCTCTTTCTCCAGGTGGTTTTTAAGCATTTACCTTTAACACTGCCAGAAGAGATCCAATTTGGTCAGTTTGCATTAGTTTCATCTTCCCACCATTGAGAAGGGACTGGATACCTTTCAGTGCATTTTGCAGTAACTGAAAACCAAAACACAAGATTACTTTTCCTTCCCAAAACATGGCAAGTTCATATCTTCAGGTGACTTCCTAGGCAATTATGGTTTTGATCAACATAATTACTGGGACAGTTACTTATGTTTATTAAAACAAAATAGGTTATTTACACAAATTCACAGTTGATAATATTCCAAATTCCACATATTCAAATTTCAACATTCCAGCAAGATAATCTCCTAATTAGGGTATTCTAGACAATTAAGATTCACACTTACCATGCAAAAAGTGATGTCATCTACATCAGAGGTTTTTGAAGACTGAAGAACACTTAGAAAAGTTTGAAAGCAGACACTTCTGTAGGACTCATCCAAGTATGGCTGTCCAGGCACACTGAAATCAGAGAAGACAAATGGTTGGTTTACAGTTTGTCCCACACAGACTCAAGCTTTCTGCCCCAGATGGGTGGGTAGTTGAGTGGTTCCACCACTACAAAGGACAAAAGGAAACATTCTCCACAAAAAGCCAGCAGTCACGTGTGCCTTACACCTGCTCTGCTTCTGTGGCCACCTTCTCAGTTGTAAGGACTCTCCAAGCCCAGCTTAACAAGCTGTTGTGCTTATAAATGCTTTGTAGGCAAAATCTGGCACTGGAGATGGCCTAGAACAACTCCTGCCATTTCCCCAGTTTCCATTAAGTAGGGACAACCTTAATGTGCTGAAACATTTCAATACCCACTCCACTTCCTGCATGAAGAAAGAGTGCAACTGCATCCCTTCCTCTGTGCCACCCTGAGTACCATTCAGTAAGAGGTGACCACTGCTGCAACGGATTTAGAGTCACTAAACAAATGCTTTTGTAATGGATTCCTAAGCACCTGCTTCCAACACATTTAATTACTTCAAGCCACCAATGCATGTTTGATAACACTCCCAGGACAACTCTAATATTGTGAGTGATGGTCCTGAAATTAGATTCATACAACAGTTGAGGTTGGAAGTGACCTCTGGAGAGCATCTCGTTCCAACCCAGTGCTTGAAGTAGGGTCACAATCAGAGCAGTCTGTCCAGGACTGTGGCCAGCTGGGCTTTGAATATCTCCAAGGATGGAGACTCCACAGCCTCTCTGGACAACTGCTTCCAGTGTTCAGTAATCCTTACTTATTTTTTTGTGCCCATTGTCTCTTGTCCTTTCCCTGGGCACCACTGAGAACAGCCTGGCTTTGTCTTCTTCATTCCCAGCCATCATGTGTTTATACACACTGGTAAGATCCTGGCTCAGCCTCCTCTTCTCCAGGGTGATCAATCCCAACACTCCACACAGAAATGTCATCATGCCCCAAACTGCCAGAGGTTGCAGGTACTTACAACAACTTACTTACAACAAGTACTTACAACAACTACTTCTTCAGACTTCATCTGCTCAAATTCCAAGCTTTTGTGTTTGTTGTTTTTGTTATTTTTACACAAAACAAACCATCTGTTCAGGGGAACTATTAACTAAAAAACTCTTTATGGCAAGTCCAAATGTCTGTTCATTTTATTAATTGCTTGTTTGCCCGCAGAGCATAGTTAGTCAAAGTCCTTCCCATAGAGCAGCTAATGAAGATTTGACGTTGCTGTGGCATCAGCATATTTACATGTGGAATGGGAAAGTGCATGAATTGCAAAATAATAACCAACAATCACTCTAAAAAACCTGTAGCTGACCATTTCTTATGCAAAATTAACCCAGGGAATCACTGCAGGGACCAGAGAGCACAACACTTTTTCTTTTCTTCCCTAAACTAATCTCTGTAACATTACTGCTGGAAGATTGAGAGGTGATGGTTTTATCCACAGATGATACAATATAGAATCATAGAATATTTTAGGTTGGAAGAGACCTTTAAGATCATCAAGTCCAACCATCAAGCCAGCACTATTAAATCCTCTGCTAAAATCTTGGAGCGCTCAAGTTTTACATTTCCAACTCCTGCAGATACACCAGTCTGATCCCAGATTTGCTGTTCCTAGCACAAAGCCAGCAGCCCACTGTCCCTGCAGTCAGAGGTACCTCTTCTGCAGCCCCCAGGCAGCAGCTGCACCCACCTGAGGCACAGGTTGGCCATGGCTCGCACCGCTGCCCTCCTGAGCTCCGCGTCGGGCTGCGCGCGGGCGCTGAGCTGCACCAGGAGCCCCCTCTCACCCAGCAGATCTGGGAGAAACTGCAACAAAACACAAACCACCCAGAGTCAGCAGGGATCCCCTTCCCCCAGCATCCTGGTTCTTCTGTTTGGCAGCTAAATATTTCTATGCTACAAAAAAAAAAAACCAGATTTGACAGCTGTCAGTTCAGATTCCATAGATTATGTTTATAAAAAATGACATGAAAATCATCATTTCCAAAGTCCCCTTATTTTGTATTGAAGAGGATTGTGTGTGAGTGCAGTCCAGACTGAGCCCTAGTTTATACTTTCTTCCCAGACATCCAGCTAAGTCAGTAACAGCTGCTGTACCAAACTGCTGCAGCCACACCGGCTACAAACCCACCCACGCTGGCAGCTCCAAACCCACCCTCCTCACCACCTCCTGCTGCAGCCCAGCAGCAGAAACTGCCCCGTGAGCTGCCAAGAGCTGGTGCCAGCACAACTCCACAGATCCAACACCATGGGGCAGGCAGCAGCACCAAGGAGCTCTGCAGCACCCTCAGGACTGACACCCGACAGTCCCAGCGCACGCTGACGACCCGATCTGGTTACAGGATAAATTCCAGGCTCCTCACTGGAGTTTGCTGAGGAATGTGCAATTGGAGGCTCCCCATGTTCTTCCCAGCTGACATGCAGGGACACCACGGTGGTTTGTCTGCAGACTAAGCCCAGTGCCCTTGTTTATCAGTGTGCCTTTGGCTCAAGCCAGGCAAGAGATGGTCCCTAGAGCTGCAGCCTGCAGGCACAGAGCTATGCAGCACAGGAGAACCTTGTTATCTCTTTGCATATCTATTATTAGTAGTGTTAGTATCTACCTATCTAGTATTACTATTAGCATCTGTTAGTATGCACAGCTATCACACCTGAAATGCAACTTTTCCATAAATATCAGTCACTATTTACACAGGATCTAATCTTGGCATGAGAGGCAAGGCAATGTGAGAACATGGAACTTTTTTATCCTTTCTTTTGAGAAGGAAAAAACATATAAAAGGAAGTAGAAAGAGCAAAAGGGTGCAAATATTTTTGTGGGTACTGTCTTTGGCTTTTAAGCTCACCTTTTGACATTTAGGTCCATTATTGTAAACAAGAGCTGCTAAGGCTTGCAGAATTTCAACATGTGTCCAAGAGCTACACTGCTTAAGAGCAGAGATGCAGTAGGAGAGAAGAAAATTCAAGCTCTGTTCATCAACCATCACCTGTCATAACAGAAAAGGACAGTGGTGAAGAAAACATCCCTCTGTACTGCTGGAGTCCATGCACACAGATAGACTGGTTACAGACTGAGGTGATCTGGCTGTTAGAATTACACACAGTCACAGAATCAGCCAGCATTTAAGAACTGGATAAATCAACACAAGTGTCTCGTGGCCAAGAGTATTTCTGAAGGTGGATTGCTTCTGACCAGAGCTGGTTTTACATGAGGAACCACGCTGGAGCCACAGGTCAGAACCTCAGCTGAGAATAAATAAGCAATACACTGAAAATCTGAGAAACTCAGCTCAAAGATCAGCTCCATAGCCCTGGGCAGAGACAAAAGGGCTCCCTGGCTTAGTGGGGGACCAGGGAGCCAGCACACAGGGAAAGGAGGGACAAGGGCAAACTTTTCATACCTGAAATCTGTTAAGTAAGTGATGGATAAGCTGACAGACTTTGCTGACAAGGTGTTCCTGATCAAGGTGAACCAGCTGACAGCCTTGGACAAGCAGAGTGCAAACATCCTGGAAAAGGAAGCCTGAGTTTATTACTTAGAGACTACAAAGCTCAGGTGGAAAACACACCAGTTATGGCTTTGATCACACAACCAGATCTGCCTATGGGTACCACTAATGTGGATAATGCAACAAAACAGATGAAACTCCAGCTGGTGAGCTTCCCCTCATTTCCCTGCAGACCTTCATTCCAATGCAGGGACACATGGACAGGGATTCAACCTGCAGAAATGCTGCTCAGGCAGCACTTAAACATAGAGCAAAAGCAAAGCCAATAATAATGGCAAAAGAGAAAGACAAACTCACATCGAGGAGCAGAAGTGGGGGGAAAAAAAGGAGCACTGTCCAAAAAAAATAAATCAATTCCAAAATGCAAAGAAGCTGGTAAGCCAGGACTGTTTAGAGCAATGCTGCAGCACGTGGTGTTCCCAGAGAGGCAGGGTCGGTGCTGCAGAACCACACCACCCAGCTTTGAAGGGCTTCAACATATTTAATTGTTTTAATAGCAGACTATGGAAATTGCCAAGTTCATACCCCACTGGTGTCCCCCACCATCTCCACCTGTGCTCACAGGCCAGGGCAAGGGTTTGGCTCACGGCAGCAGCGCTCCCGAGTCACCCAAAAAGGTGGGGAAGGGGACCGGGGGTGGGTGAGGGCAGCAGAGATGTCGTGGGGAGGACAGTGGCACAGGAGCAGGAGGATCAGGGGAACGCCCAGCCCATTGGGAGCC